TCCAGAGGAACATTAATTTTCATTTCAGGGCTCATAATGTAACAAGGAAACTCCCAAAGATTCAGATTTTATGTGTCTAGTTAGACCACCTAGGTGGTACCCTAAAGCCGTGTGTATCTAGGTGGCCTGTTCAGCCTCCAGCCATCAAGGTGCTGCTGTGCAGGTGGTCTGTCCAGCATTAGCTGTGGTGACATGGAAGACAAGGAGTGTGGGCAATCGAGTCTTCACCATGTCTTACGGGTTCTTGCTAGGTTGGCCACATTGTGCTGGGTTTGGACATGCCCTTTTATACCCTTTAGAGCTGAGAGTGATCAGTATCCCCACACCGTCCTACCTGATTTAGTCCCTGTCCTTTCCCTCTCAGTCTGGGTGTCCTAAGATGCTGCATGTAGATTTCTGCTGGAAGTTTGATGACCTGCTAGCCTAGGCACCATGAACATATGCCATTCATACAGCGCTTCCCCCGCCACCTCAAGCCCCGTTCCCACTCCTTCTCCATTCAGACCAGTGATCAGTGCATTAATGTTTCTGTGCTCTGCAAATAAGATGCTGCTAGAGCACAACTGGCCCACAGCTGGCTCTGTCCTGGCTGCTTCTAGGCACTGCAGACACTGTAGAGTGCTAATTCACAAACTGTTGTAATCCTTAATAAAATTAAGTCAGCCAGCTTTTAGCATAGATGTGTTTGTTGCTTTTCTTAGTGTTCCTACCTTCTTGTTCAGTAACAGTCAGATCTTCCTGTGAGGGAGTTTACAAAGAACTCTAACAAGGACCCACCCGAGGTTTATTAGGGACCTCAACTAAATTCTGCCTTGACTGATGGATTTGAGTATTAGCCTCTTCCTTTTGTTTTCTTTCTCTGATAAAATAGTTTTTAAAGGAGCAGTATTTCTGGATGCAAGGTGGGGGAGCTGCAGATTCTAATGGAAGCACTTCTCTTGTCTTCCCCGTGTATGTTTTTCCACTGCTCTTACATCCTGATGTGACATCATTGTACAAAACTCCTCTCAAGCATATTCCCATGTCTACATCAAGTTATGTACCAACGAAATTTCCTCCTGATACCATATAACCAAAGAGCAAGGAGATGCAACACAGACCGGTCATGGCTTTGCACAGAGAAGTATCATTGTGCATCACAGGTTTGCTTGATTTAGATCCTTTCTAAACACTTTTTGTCTATCTGTCTGGACTGTGTATGTAGTATGATACAGAGGTAGCTAACATAGCATTATTGCAGGTAAGCTCTTGTTGAGATCCAAGCAGTGTGGATGTATCAGCAAGCTCAGAGCTTATTCTAAGCTTTGCACGTCTGTGCATTGTACTCCACCATGCAAAACAGAAATGGCCTTTGTTGCCTGTATTGCAGGAGCAATTAAGCTAAAATAATGAATTTGGGAAAAAAAAAATCAAGCCGGAAACTAAGAAAGTCTCTGATAGGGTGGAGTGGGATTTCCATCTGATTACATTAAAAATGAATTTGTTCCTCTTTTAAAGCAAATTAATCTTTGTTCATACAGCTGACCTGATAAGGTTATTAAAATTGTATATGATGTGTCAGTTCTGTAAACTGCAATGAAATGCTAACTTTATGCAGGATCAGCCTTCTCTTAAAATTGAAATAAACTATCTGGATTTGTGAGAATTTTTTTTTTTAATTACCAGGGTACCTCAAACATTGCTAAGTGGTTCTGCTGCATAAAGGAATGTACTTAGCTTAAAATGTTATCATTCACAGAGGTGAATTAAAATGAGTCTTAGTTTTCCCTGCAGCAAGACTGCAGGCAGGGAGAGTTTCGTAGACCTTCAGTTTGACCCACTGTGGCTGCTCTGAGGTTCTCATGACCAGTCCTTCCTCTGCTACTTTTTTGAATATTTCAATTAATTTTCAGATATCTCAGAATATTTTTTACTTGTTGAGTATTATATAAACAGCATTAGCAAAGATGGCCTGATTTGATGGTCAATGAAGCTGGTGGAAAAGCTAAAGGCTGTGAGCTTTCCAGGAGGTTCAAAGAGAGTTACAGAAGCGTCTAATTACTCTCAGTTGCATTCAGTCAATAAGCGCTCTTCTCCCTCCACCATGGCCACTCAATTCACTCTGCCAGGCAAAATACCCTTTCTAAAAATTGTGTGTTTAGTGTAATAGTGCAGTGCATTGAGTTGCAGTGGGTTGCTGAGATGGCAGACTTATGGTGTAATATGGGCTCAAAGCTCATCTGCACACCCACAAAGGAGCACAGAGAGACAACGGCAGGAGGGGGAGCCCAAATAATACCCCGCCCCAGCTGCTCCCAGGCCCATCCCAGGAGCCATCAGCCCATCAAAGGCCCGTCTGCACCAGCCCAGAGGAGCACAGGGGCACAAAGGCAGGTGGGAACCCAAATTAAGGATTCAGAGGAAGGGACACTCTGTCTGGAGCCCTCCCAGGTCTGTCCCAGAGGAGTCTCAGCTCCAGTGTCCAGAATGGAAACCCACTCAGATGAGTCAACACCAGAGCACCTTTGGGACTGAAACGTGTTGCTGCCTGGGGACATGGGACACATTATGGCCGAGGGTGTCTGTAAAGGCAATGCCACTAGTAATGGGCTGCTGAGGACCAGGGGCATCCTGGCTAGCTCTGTGTGTGTGTGTGTGTGTGTGTGATGGTCTGTACCAGCAACTGGAGTGGGGCTGTGGACCTCAGGGCTCACATGTCCAGGTGCCAGCAACTGGGAAGACTGGGATCTAGGGGCAGCTACTGGGCTGACTGAGTGTCTGAGCCCAGCTGCTGGAGGGATCCAGCTTCTACAGATGTGTATACTTCTGTATATTCTCACTAGTGGACCTCCATCCTGTTCAGCCAGAGAGGTGAGAAGGATGAGGCCATCAGTGCTGTCTGTGTGAGTGCTCTGTATGTCTGTCTTTGTCATCTGTGTTGCCAGCTGTGTATGTATGTATATATACGGTGTACACATGTGCTCTGTGTGTGTGTGCCTACTGGGTATACACGCTCAGGCTTGATGCTGGTGAGACCTCAGGCATGGAGCTGCCCCAGCCTTGCCTCTCCAGGACTGCCAGACCCAGCACAATATGTTTTCCACTGGCAATATGCTTTCTCCTTTATTCATAGTGTCAAAAGTAGAGTAAGCCTGGGAGAAGAGTAGAAAGATATGTGGTATTTAGTATTGTAATTTCTCATTTCCTTCCTTTTGTGGGTTGAACCTGTAATATTGCAACAGGCATAAAACTACTGCACAGAAAGCTTGTTGGTGTATTCATTTCCTCAAATTTGAAATCTGACAGTTGAGATGGTGCTTGGGGTGGGGTGGGCAGTTTGAGGAGCAACAGGGAGGGCAACAAATAAAAGCTGTGTATAAACATGTGTGTGTATATAAACTATAGGCCAGCACCTACCTATAAAATATTCATTAATGCACAAAGTTTATGCATCAAAAGCTTGTGGAACAGTGAGTTTCAGATATGAATGGCAGTGATTAAAAAAGAAAAAGCCTCTAAGTCTAAATATGATATAGACACAATATATTTTAACTACATAGGCAAACATGAAAGGCCAATGTCATTCAAAAAAGCAGCCCAAGCTCAGAATTAACTGCTTCCTGTTGAGAAGAATATGAAAAGAAATCAAAAATACTCCCAAGAAGCAACCTGTTCTGTAAATCAGTGTATGTATAGAAATTCTTTAGTAGGTGACCTAGTTTTAAAGACCATTGGGAATTTATGCCCATTGCCTGTAGACAGAGAGGGTGACCTGGGAAATCCTACCGTGATGAAGCCCATGCACCCATGGAAATAATGTTGGACTAAATTTCCTCATTGGCATAATTCCACTAAATTAAAAGAAGTAATGTGAAGGACGAACAGGGGTCTATGTTTTCATGTTTGAGGAAAAGGACCCAAATATGTTCGTTTTAGTTTAGCTCCCAAACAGAAGCTCTTTTGTAACATCCTAATTGCCTAATTCCAATTTTTGTTCCCTTTTCTGTGAGGTGAGAATTTTATATTCCTTTGTTATCAGTGGAAGTATTTTTCCTTCTCCATGGAAAAAAAACCCTATCATTAAATCAAATCAACCATGTTTTACTAGATTTATGCTTTCTTTTTGTCAGTGATACATACAGACATCAGGAGAGATACTTACTAGCATATTCTATCTATTTGTCTGGAGATGAAGTTTTGCTCCCTAAGATTGTATAATTCTTCAGTGTCAAGCAGCTGATTTGTATTACTTTTGTGTGTAACCATTCTACAGCCAAATCATTTTGATTGCCAGGACATCTTATTCAGGCTCCATTTCTCTTACATGGATTTGACTTTATTTTTGTGTACTTTAAGGTATGATGAATTGATGCCTTACATAGTATGAAACATACAGAGTGGAACAATGAATAGGTTTACAAATGGCTTTATTCCTTTCTCCTTTCAAATGAATTTATCTTAACATTGCATGATATATATTTGCGATAATGTTTTTGACCGTGAAATTTAAACAACTCTGAACTCGCATCAAATGAGTCTTCTGTATAACAGTGCTTTTGCAAAATGTCTTGTTACTATACACGGGGTTTTTTTGGTAGCTGGATCATTTTCCTACATCAAAGCCTGTCAGGCTCACAAGTATTTCAACAAATGGAGTGATTTGGAGTGAAAGTTTTCTGAGTGAGGTAGAAAAGTAAAGCTGAAACAAAAATCTGTGTCACTGTGAGAAAAAGTTGTGTCCTTGTTCTCCATATCATCATTGGGGCAAAACTTTATAGTGTATCTTCTCTTTCGCAGCAGCCTGCAAGAGCGTTCACTGGGCTAATCTTAATCTTCAATTTGCTCTTCAGAATGCATGCTTCTGATGTGAGGCTACTTTACAGGAAGCGTGACCTCATTCTGCCTCGGTGCCGCTGATTGCACGGGCTGTTTTCGAAAGGAAACAGGGGACTTGACAGACCTGCCTTTCCGAAGACCCAGCGCTAATCTCGCCCTGGAAGCTGCAGAAGGAGCACCCTCCACTTCACGTCTCAGAGGCTCTCGTCTTGGCGATGAGAAACTTTTCCGCGTGCATGTGTTAATAGTGAAATGGATTTTCCAGGTTTGGAAGATTTTACATACATTTATCTCTTAATGTGTTTGTCAGCTGAGGAAAAACTAAGCTTTGGATTCATTTCTACACGGCTCTTCAGGAAGTTTTGTATTTTTGTGTATGTTGCTATCATTACCTGCAGGGACAAAAGACTAGACTGCTGTTCAAAAATGACTGATATGTGTGAACAAATAAAACTATCTTTGTAGACACTCGTGTTTGGTACGTACAATAGAATGAAACTGGTTGCCTGGGCTTCAGCTATTTTAACAGCACTACATTTTGGTACATACTAGTGTAAATATTTAGAATGTAAACATGGACAGGGGATTGCTGGCTACCATTGAGGCCATCAGTGGCTTAAAGATTAATTTGATTTTTGGAGGGACAAGTAATTAAAACTGACTGTTTTGGATACTGACTTTTTGTTTATGTTACGACATGGGCTTTCAGGTGTTTTGAAATTCAAGGGGGTTGTTGCCTTAAACTTTTATTTGAATTCTTGATATAAAATATTGCCGTGTTCACCTCAGATTCACTTTTATTGAGATTTCATAAAGTTGTTGGCCTTTTCTCATGTCATAGTTTAAAGGTTCTGTATTGATGCTCATTTTGATGATTACATATAAAATACTACTGCTTCATTGTGCAGTGGTGGTTGAGATGCTCTGTTTTGGCTTGCTTATATTGTTACTATAGCTTCTCACGCTATTAATAGCCCAGAAATTGGACTGAATATTAACTGAAAGCAGAACACTGTGCAGCACTGTCTACAACATGACGTTTCCATGCTTTCTCCAGCATTGACTGAATTATGATTTTCAAGGACCCTCTTCATTAACGCATGAGACAAAAATTTTCATGATCAAGTGCAGCAAAAAAATCCATTGGACTACCTGTTCTATGGCTGTTTATAGAAGCTTGGTATTATCATTACTTAAAATACTTTGAAAGCAAATTACAACTGCTTATTAACTGTTCTTCAAAAGAGAGGAAGTCATTGCCTCCCTAGTAATATATCTGCATATGTACATCTCTCACTTTCTTTTATAAATGTATGTATATATACATATATATGTATATCTGTTTTACCTTAAATTTTACTTCTGTGGAGGGTGGCAGATAAGCAAGCATCCTGCATAGACATACATTGCAAATTTATGACACAATTCATATTATTAATGGAAGGACTGTGGTTTCTTCTGCCACTTCGATCAATATGTGTCAACACTTTCTAATGAAAGAACTACCCATATGCAAACTACTGTTCTGAAAAGTTATTCTTTTTTAGTGGTTGCTACTTTATGTTATCATAACTGAGAAAATTACTTGCAATACAACTGTGTTACGGGTTTCAGTTGCAGGAAAGTTTCACTCTCAGATTGTTAAAGAGTTGTAGTAGGTATAATTGATGCTGAGGTATACTTCTGCATCGCTTTTCAAACAAATTTGCTCTAGAATCAATCACTTCTGTCTCAGCAAGAATATATATTATAACTAATAATATGATATATGTTGATGTTACTATCTTACACATCCTAATTTTTAAACAGGACAAAATAAAACCTACTTCTGTTTCTTTTTAAACTCTTTTACAGATGATCTATATTACCTGTAATTCCAGGGTGTATGAAACAGTCCTTTTCAAGATGTATGGAACATCACATGTTGCATCGACACCAGGAGCAAGTAAATTTGTGCACATTCACCAGAGCTTTTGATTAAAAATAATCTGTTGTGGAGAGGATTTTGTTTGACTGATAAGATTTGGGATTTTGCAGGTTTTAGTTTATATCCAGATCTACAAACCACCTGTCAAGTTCTTCTTGTATTTCTTTTAGAGTTTGGATGAATTTCTTGGTTTTGACTATAATATTTTTGTGCAATTAAAAATCATGATTTTGCCCAAAATAAGTTTTTTCAGAGTCTAATTGTGTATGAAAAAAATGGGTCTCCAACATGTCAGCCTATGAAATACACACCACTCTCACTTTTTGTACAACTTGCTGTGTAGCAATCTGACCAATGCTACTTGATCTCTTTGTATGTACCTCCACCAAGTTTCTTCCAGTCGTCTCCTCCTCAGGTTGTTTTGTCAGGATTAGAGGATAATTTTCTCATGGTAAAGTGAGATGTTGGTTTGGTTTTTTTTTCCAAAGTGTAGGAGAAACAGTATGTGTGGGAGTAGGGTAATAGGACAGATTTGTAAAAAACACCCTGGAAGGTTTTACTTCCCTTCTTTGGTGACCCTGCCTGGTCCCAAGGCTCAGTCAGCCTTCACACCCAGGCTGTGACTGACAACTGAGCTCCAAATGAGGATAAACAAGATTACTAAAGTGGAAGCACTGACCTTCATGCCTTTTCTTTGCCTCAGCTCATAACTGAACATAAGGAAAAGAATTCTCTTAGACCTGTCTCCTCTTGTAGGTAAATGATGGGCATTTACTAACAGTGTTGTAAGCATGATGCTCTAAAGATACAGGAGAGGCAAGGTAATGTAGGGAAAGATCATATCTTTTATCTTCCCATGTAATAACAGATATAAATTCTCCCTATGGATAGCCATTCCTCATATTTTGTAAGATTGATTCTGTCAGATGCTGGACATCTGGCAGCACTTTGCAGATGTAAACCATGGTAATCCAGACAAATCCTATTTCCTTAGTCTCCTGCCACCATATTATTGTCAAATCTTTGTCACTGTCACTACCCCTATGTCTGTTGTGCTATGTCTGCAATTTTCATCTGAAAAATATATTGTAATGGTAATGGTGGTCCTTCCATTCTACTCTGTATCTATTGCCAGTACATGTAATATTTTTGGCATGAAGCAGATTTCTGGGAAAACACTATTAAAATCACTGCAGCTATTGCATTTTTGTCCGTAATTATTTCTCTCAAGGTTGTAAGCTGTGCAGAGTACAAGTATCTGATTATGATTGGCTCTGATTTTGTGTTGTCATGGTTGAGGTGAGGTTCCTGTAAACACTATGTCTTTTCCCCATTCTTTCATCTGTTTTGTCTCCTTTAATCTTTCCCTTAATTTCCTTTTCTTTTTTAGCTTCTTTTATGATCTTTTTGATATGCACAAGGTACCTGTCAGTGAAGACTTGTCAACTGTTTGAGCTGTCAGTAGATATGATAAGGACTCCTTCTTACTTGGCTTTTGCCTCTGCAGGTTCAACAGCTTTTAATGGAGAACACAGATGCAGCTTCTCACAACGTATTTTTCCAAGGTATTGAAGAAATTTATGCTTGTTTAATTTTATTTTGTTGGAGATTGTGTAAAATGCCTTTTGGGCCACTTAGAATTGTAGTGCTGGTATTAATTTAATGGAATTTCAGAAGTACTACTGTGGAGATTGGAAGCACCGGCTTTGCAAGGTTTGGAGTATCTCTGTTCCACCTGCTTTTCCCTCCACTGAAATTATGGTATCCCTCTGTGACATGCCATATGGGATAGTTAAACTGCTACTGAAACCCATGTCAGCCACTGAATCAATCCAGTGTCTTCCTTTCTTTCCACGGATGTCACTGCATGGCCACTTGGAACTCAAAGGTGTTGAGGAGAAAGGACTAACCATAAATCCAATTTTACTTGAGCTAAGTAAAATGTCTACAACATTTAGGTTCTTTCTCCTCTGTCACTGCTCGCTTCTATTTTAAACACCACATAGTATATTTTTCTGTGCTATATTTCATCTCGAAGTCAATTGTATTTCAGTGCTGGATGAAGTTATCACCATGTGTAGACTTTATCCCATGTTGTTCTAGCTGCATGGTATTCTACAATTTGTGAGAATTAAAAGTCATGTATCCTTAGATCTTCATTAAGTATGGCTAGGTTATAAAAAGTAAGTAAATCCTGCCTGGTTCAGAGGCATGCAGGCTTGCGCCATGCAGAGTAACTCAGAAAAGCAAAATACTGGAATACCTCTGATGACTCCAGGTAGGTGTAGATCTGGCAGGGCTGCCTGGCCAAGAGCACTGCCACAGAAATATACCATGCACTCCTGAATTCAAGCTGGCTCCATGTGTTCATGAAATGCTCCACCTGGCATGAAGCCCTCCTGTAATCTGAAGCTCTGGAAAGTGTGATGCAGGCACGCTCTAGCTGGCTGAAACCCCCTAAGTCTAGAAGTAATATCATCATATCCACATACTTTAAATCTATGTCATTACCAGCCCCCATCAGCTGGTAATGTAAATTCATTATTAGTATTATTAAATCACGGGTTTGCTCTGTCTAGACATTGACTAAATTAGAGGGTTTCATTTCTCCTTTTCAGTTATGCTTGTGCCTTTTTGGACGATGACCCTGCCTATGAGTGTTGTTCTGCAAATCCTCTGACAGGCTCCCTTTCCACATGTCGCCGCAGCCGGCGACTGCTTTCTAATGGTTATTACATTTTGACAGAAGACAGTTTTCTGTCTGATGAAGAGGGCAACATAACACTGACACCATCCCAGACAAGTGTTACATATAAAGAGAATTTAGTTCGGTAAGTGCACTATATGCAGATTTTACTCAATGTTGGGAATTGCCTCCACATCTCTGGACTTATCTGGTGGTATCTGTGTGGCTGTCTACATTTTGCTTGGCATAAGATCAGCATTGCTTCTTAATGGGACCATCTCGATGGATTTAGTTTAGAGAATGCAGCAACTGAAACAACTTGATTTTCAGTCATGCCTAATCTTGCTACCCAAAACCTCTTCAGTATACAGTTGTTGCTGTAATTGGAGTTGTGTGCAGTAAAGAAAAAGGAGAGCTACAGCTTATTTTGCCAATGGATTGTTACCGTGATAAGGAATAAGAAAAAAGTGAGTGTGTGTGTATATATATATAAAAAAATAAGAAGGTCTGGTCCTGTAATTCTTCCCCACGGAAAAATCTCTCTTGATTTCAGAAGAACATCATTTTAGGAAGGTATATAAAATGTAGTTCAAAAAAGTTGAAGTACAGTGGATTCAGGCTGCACCAAATGGGATATGATAGGGTGAAACTCATGGCTAGCATGAGACCACTCAGAACAGTATCAGAGCCCAATAACTGTAGTATCATTTGGTATCACAATACCCAGTATCACAACAGCATGCTATATTGCCATGCTGCTAATACATTCCCTGATATTGGTGACATACCCAGGGTCAAGAACAGATCTAGGAACAGCACCCAGAACTTGCTTCTTTCATGTCAGTCCTGCAAGCTTCAGAGCTTTATCCCTGCTCAACAAGAATAATTAACTCTATTCCTTGACAACATGTCTTTTCTTTCTAGCGTATTCAGGCGAAGGAAGAAAATCCGTCGTTCTCTTGCCAGCTTGTTCAATCTCAGTGCCTCCACTTCATGGCTCAGCAGCACCGTCCTCAACAATATGGATTCCTCCCATGTAGATGATCCTTGGCCTGATGGATGCGATAAACTAGAAGCCAATCAGAGTGATATTGGTAAGCTCTGACCAGGTACCAAGTAGTCAAGCTACAACATTACAGTCTATATTTAGTGGGACTTAGGTATCTCTTTCCATAGGTTTTGCAAGGGTTGTCTGCCAAGATGTGCAGGTAAAGGATAGATGAACAACAGAATTGTAGGTGGTGAATTGAGCTCCTGGCATTAAAACAGAGTTTGAGTCCACAAAGACCTTTGTGCCAAAAAGTCATTTTTAGACTGAATTTGAATCCAAAGTCATCACCAGTGATGTTTATGCTGGTGTCATTAATATCTGGCCCTGTCTGCTTTCCCGTGGCTGTTTTAATAACTTCATTGTGTTACGCTTTATGCAGCTCTGTCTGTACTCTGCATATTTTCTCCTGCATACATCGAACCTGCCAATTCCCTACCCTTAACTATTTGGAAACTCCCTGTCCGTCCCCCCCCCCAAATTCATTAACACAAAGTCTCAAAGCTCTTCTTTTGTGTGATCTCAGTTACATATGCACTTTTTGTAGGCGATTCAGTCTTTTCTTCTGAATATAATAGCCATGTGCCACAAAGGCAAACTCCGTCATCTAATGGAGCCTCTCTCACCAAAGACAACGAGTTTCTTCAGCCAGAGAAACCATTTTGTGCTTCAAAATCCTGCTCTCCACTTATGATAAATGCAAATGCAGAGACTTTGAGCAATGCAGGTATGTTACATTCTTATTCTGATATGCCTCATTTTCAGACTGAACTGAAAGTAATCATATTAAAAATATTGATATGGCCCCTTGCAGAATAGCATTTATTCCCTTAAACATACATTTTAAATGACTGATTAAAAATAACAAAATTTACTTGTTTATTCCTCCCTGCTCACATCTTTTCCTCTCCTACTTTCAGTGATAAATGGAAAAAGTGAAGAGGAAAATGGAGGAAAGGGCATGGGAACAAAAACTGAAACAGGCAATTATTCAGAAAGGCTTGTTTTCTGAGAGCATGGAGGGCACAGTGTCTCTATGGTCGTGGGGGAAAAAGACTCCTGAGAGACACCCAGAGCATGAAAATTAGGTTTCCGCTTTGAATCACTCTAAGCGAATTCTCTTACAAAGAAACTGAAGAGACTGGCCTCACAGGCTGAAGGTGGTCTTTGCAAACACCTCCTGTCATATATTTACTCCTAAAAACTCATGAAAATTATTTTCCTGATTTTTGTTTTAGAATCCAGGACAGTGCGAAATGTCCTTTCTCAGATGGTTGCACTGAAGACGTGTTTAACCATTTCAATATGTACAAGGTAATTTTTATTTCTTTTGTTTGTTGTTTCTGATATTAATGCTTACTCCATTTCAACTGATGAATAAAACATAAACTAAGGGTCCCATTTTCAAAGTTAGATCTATCTTACTGTGAAAATATATTTTCACATTTTAGTCGATGCAGGCAAATATATGTGCTATATAGATAAGCACAAAAATAAGAAATATGTACACAGATATGAAAACTACTTTGTCAAGTGTGCTTGGACAGGGGTTTTGAAAGGCTGAGAAGAATCCAAATGGATCCATGTCTTTCTAAGTGACCAATATGGGTGTTTCTCTCAGTCTGGGAATGCTGAGGTCTTTCTGGGACATTATCCTCAATAGTTTAAGTAATTTAATGGTTCAAATTGCAGTTCACCTACCAGAGTTCAGAAGGTTCATCTGCAAGAACCTTCTCTCCTCCTCCCACCCAGGCTTCACCTCTGTTAACCCAATATGCCTCCCTTGTTTTTTTCTAACCTTTATGGGTATTGTTATGTTCTCAGATATTTTCTGGGAGGATTGTCTGCCACTTTGTTGCTGATAATTTTAGTTTGTAAGTACAGACTTCCTTTATACTCAACACACAATATTTTACTAAGTCACATCTGAGGACCAAAATCCATCCTTGGATGTACATCCACAGCTCTTATTGATGCTGATAAGAGCAATGTGTGGGCATATGGGGACAGAATGTAACCTTCAATCAGTTACAGGATTTTGCATTTAAATTTCACAGTTCTTTTGTCCCAAGATGCTGCTGTGTCATCTTTCTTCAGTCTTGACACATCTTTCAAAACAACTAAGTTTTGGTAAGTGTCTCCAGTGTCATGTGATTAATAGAAGAATTTAGAAATTTTATATTAACAAGAGGAAGGAGAGATTCCTTCTCTTGTTTTCATGCCAAAAGATAGAAGGCATGATCTGATGTTACTGATGGAGGATTTGGCTTTTCCCGTTACTGATCTGTATGCATAGAAACTTTCTGTTTATTTTGAAAAACTGCCTTTTCCTATGTGCAATATATATTGTAACACCTATTTGTTAGCAGAAAAGGAAGATAAGCCTAATATGCCATAGAATTAAGATGCAAAGACAGAGCAAGGAGTAACTTATTATGAAACCAGAGGTGTGCTTTTAAGCCTTGCACTGAAGTCCACTCTGAGGCCACCAAACCAAGCCTTTATTTTTGACCGGAAAAAATAAAAACATCTAACTATGCTGCTAGCCACATCACCACCTTCCAAGGAGTACAGAATTGATATGACTTGGCCCCACTAACCCAATGGACTGTTAGGTTCAGGACAGAGCTTTGCCTTTGGCTTGTACTGTAGTCTGATAAATGTGTTGGAAAGTATTAAATCAGTCTGAGGAGTTGATTTAAGGTGCTGATGTTGCTGTTTCAGATTGCTTTATTTCAAAGTTTTGCACAGAGCTGTAGCTTCTAAATCCTTATGGAGAAAAAGACTTACACATATAGAAGGTCGAATTATATCTTAGACAAAGCTTAGACATAGGCCTCCATGCTGAAAGCATGTATGTATATGCTGGATTTATGAAATACTGTTCTTTTGCTTTTTACGCAGCAGAAAATTCTTCTAAGTGTGTAAAAACTAAAAATCTGCTAAGAATAAAAACATTTTGACTTATCTGAATTTTTACATGGTGAAAGTGAAGATCAGAAGGATATTGTTTGTTCTGAAACTGTGTCAGGGTTCAGGAGTTCAATGTATCCCAAGGGCAACAAGACAATCTGGTAGACCTCTTAGCCTTTGAATTGAGTATATTGGAAGTTAGAAACAACAAGACACAACCTGGAGAGCCGCATTGCAATGATAGTCTGAGATTTTGAGCATCTAAGGGTCTTAGCACAACACCTTGAGTACTCAAGGATGGTATGATACACTTTGTCACTATGTCATTATTCTCAATAAAATCAAGGCCACCAGGTTAGGACTAGCATGTTGCAAATGCATGCTCCAAAGTACTGCTTTCTGACTCCCTGAATAGTTTAGGCCTGAGTCATAAACAAAGCCGTCCCTTCACAAGAGGAAGACAAATACACTCTGAGATCTTTTCAGTCACTGGTATACAGAGAATACCTCTTTTATGCTCATCACAGGTGAGAAGTTACCTGCTCAAACAAATAGTCCTACAGCTTAACTAAATTTGGCAAATCAGAGCCTACAAATATAACAAATGGTGGTTTAAATCAGGACATACAAAAATTTATGCTTTATTTCTTTTCCCCCAGGAAATAGTTGGAAAGAAAGAATAATTGGTGAGTATATGTCTAAGTTTAGAAAGAATTCCTTACATTTTGGGGTGAGCCCTATTACAAAACAGGGTTCAAGCATGCCAGAAAGGTTCCCTGGACTTTTCATTAAAATAAGGTTTAGCTGCTGTACCCTTGCCAGTTTCCACTGCCAATTACTCCACTTTGTTGTCTAAAACTCCTTTTTCATTTTATTTGGATCAGATATTATTTTATTGTTTGACAACAGTTGCTAAATAGTGTAAGCTGTTAAACAGCTGCTGAGCTTCAGCCCAGAGAAAACATGGTTTTCAGTAATGGGCAAAGCAAGTCTTTCTTTTTCCAAGTTTAAACTGAATAGTAGTGCCAGGTGCTGTACTGCTCTAACTTGGTACCATTCCACTGAAGGAGTGAAGCAGCATCAACATGTATCAGTCCAGAATACGTGGAAAACACAGATTCTTCTTTTCCCTATTCTTTTTCAGTCAAGACTTCTCCTCAGTCTCTAGTTTCTGTTTATCAAGCATTTCTAAGTCTTGGTGCAGCTCAGAACCCTTAAAACCAGAGCACTGATTTATTTGTACTTGGAGCTGCCCATCCCAGTCCTGGTTCCATTATTTCCTTTATCTCTTTACTTTGAAAAGATAAAAATTAAAAGAAGGAACTAAGTGGAGCTGTGCCCAGGTTTGTGTTCCCTATAGCATGAATGAAACAGCAATGTTCATCAGTTCGCTGGATGAGTGTAGTTCAGCTTCTGAGATCTGAAGGCATCTGCACAGCTGCAGACACAACCTGGAAAAGCTTTCAGTCAGCTCTCAGAAAGAGGATGTTCATCCTGAGAACAAAGCATTTTAGAATGGTATGCAGGCATCTGATCACTTTGCAGACTTACTAAAGCCTATGATGAAAAATACATCTTACTCATCCAGTGTGCTAAGCAGTGGGCACTAGATATGGCACTTAAGTGAGTGGAACTGTTTATGTAAGGGCTGCCACACCAGAGCTTAAAAGCTGACTCTGATTTTGAAAGCCACTATCAGTATTCACCAAAGCAGCTACTACAGGATGGAGTGGAGAGCTTGGGACTTGTTGCCTAGCAGGAATAAACTAAATACAGACTGGCACAGGTTACTGCGAGGCAGGACTTCCAGCATTTCAAAACAAGCTTGTCTCTTGCCTTTCATAAAAACTTAAAAGCAGAGTAGTTACTTCTGTGTATTTCAAAATGAGTTTTCATTTCTCCTCCTCCTCAAATTTGTTTTCCTCAGCTCTTCAGCATCAAACTACTGGATACCTCCTTATGGCCATCATTACACATGCGCCTGTGGAAAAAAATAACAGCAGTGTTAGTATTCTTCCTTCAAAATACAATTCATTTTAGCTTTATTTTTATTCTGGTCAAACTGTGAGTGAGGCCATACTTCTTGGTGACTATCTGAAAGCAGTTGTGTGAAACAATTGCTGTACCTCTAGTCTGTCAATGAAGTGCTATGTAGGCATGGGGTCCTACAAGCATTTTGATAACAAACTGATGGTAAAAAGTGTTTTGTAATCCCGACTAAATCAGTTTTTTATAAAAAACTCAATGTCTTCCCATACTTTAGATATTAATTTCTTGTAACAACATGCTGTCAAATATAATGGAAATGGATAGGGGCTGAGTACTTGTGGCAAAGTATTTCAGAAGCTTTACTGTATCACTTGTGTGCACTGCCTTTTGGCCTTTATGCTAAGCATTAAGAAAAGAGAAAAAACAAAGACAGAAATATTACTGGAAGGGAAGCACTCTTCAGAAAACCAGGAATCAGGATGTGGAGAAGCAATGACGAATCTGAAGTACCTGGATTCATGTACAAAAGTACAAGACCTGCAGGTATTAACTTTACTTTGGAAACAGTGAGCCCTATTTTTCAGCTTGGATCTTTGCTACAACAGAGACTAAACTACACATAAAAACCTGTGGGTAACCACAAACTGTCATCTTGTGACTCCAAGCTTTTAATAATCTGCTTCTTAAAATATCTCCCTGTATGCCAGTTTAGCTAGGACAGCATGGATTTCATCTTCCCATGCAACAAAATTATGATAATGTGTGAGGATGGTATTGCCCACCAAATCATTCTATAACTACTGCTGCTTCTATTCTGCTTGTCCCCTGGTGTTGATAAAAGCAATGCTAGCACAGCCCCAGCTGGTAAATCAGACATGAAATGCTGCCTGTGGAAGGGCTAGGTCTGCGGATGGAGTACAATCAGGCTGGTAGGCATAATGACAGGGATTTGAAAACTGCAGCAAAAGCGCACAAATGAAAGGTTCTGGTGGAAGAAAGAATCAACAAAACTGAAACACCACTGTCTGTCCAACTCTGCGTCTAAGCTAAACTCAAGCAGGTTATAGCTGTATTTCTAGCTTCAAAAATCCTAACAAGTGATGCAATGGGAAAAGGGTACTTGAAATTAAATTAAAATGTACATTTCTCTTTCAAAGGGTAAACATACGCTGGTTGTATTTTGAAGATAAGCATCAATAGCTCAGCATTAAGAGCTCAAAGAGGGAAATGTCACCCAAATTCCCAATTTTTCATAAAAATTTACTTTTGCCTAGTGCATTAAATTGACTTTAGATGAAGACAGACCATCTGATGTAACAAGACCAGGTTTTATAATTTCAATAAATGGTGACAATAGAATGTTCTTCTTCATAAAATTGATGTATTATGTAACTATAATAGTAGTTATAATACTCATCCTCATATATACTTGTAGCTAATACACTTGAATAATTTTGTCAGTATTAAATAATTCTGCTTCTATTTACTTTAACTATGGCGACAACTGAGAGTAAATACCATTGTGTAATACGTATAAATATTTTGTGTTACCTATTTCATTGCAAGTTATAACAGGTCCTTTACTAAATGCACTAACTAAAGGATTATAAAAATCTTTAGTGTTAAATAATCTCCTGGAAGAATAACCTGGAAAATGAAATTCTATACTGAGAGAGAAGTCTAAGACTGCAATTACCCTGCAGCCATCAAAGCGATTATGCTGAAAACTAGAAAAACCTGAGTTCATTGTAAACTAGTTAGTTCACAGTAAACTAGTGAAGAAAAAGTTGATTAAGCTTGCCAAAAATTTTGTCTAAAATGAATTCCTATAATCTGTCTGAATAAATATAAACTGTAAATTAGAATTGTTCTGATCTGGAGACGGGGAACTTCTGGGGCAATTTGACAATTCGAGTTCAAGGGCTAAAAATAAGATGCTTGGGATCTCTTAAGATCTGCCTTCTGTGATATTCATTAATGTTGAATTAACAAAGTTCTATTCAGGTACCAGACTGGTTGGCTTCGGCAGTTGCCTTCCGTATATTCCAATGAACATAAAAGCAAACCTTGTATTGTTTCTCTGAAAAGAGGCACAATAGTATGTTTGATTCTGTTGGATGAAAAATTGAAGTCAGAATCTGTCTGATGAAAAACTGAAGAAAACACAGTCTAACCTGAATGTTTAAATCCAGACATTCAGATGTAATTAGCCCTTGCAGCTTCTGTTAACCAGAGTGTCAAGCCTAGGATAACTGTGAAATGTAACTGTAGCAAAGTAAAACCACTTGTTGATTAATGATTAACTGACACATCTACAGAGAGGACAACAGAATCACTGTCCCCAGTGATTAAATTCTTACTCCAGTTTAATATAGCACCTTATTTAGAAAAAGAGAATCAAAGAAGAATTTCGAGGTACAGATTTATAAGCCCCTGTGCATTATCTCATACCTTTCGTTAATTTTTTTTTTTTTTAATCATTACACCTTGTCTTTTACTCTCTTATTTCTTGCTGTGTTCAGCTGAATTTCAGGGTCATTCTTGAGAATATATCACATAGTGCTTAATAGTGTGAATGTTCGTGTTGAAGGGAACAGTAGTAAGCATGACAATAATATTTATGGCATCCCTTAGCTTGTAATGTTCCTAGTCTGCGAGCAAGTCTGTTTTGTATTTATCCTGAAAGCATTGCTCATAGAAGTCAAACCATAAAAGATTAACATTTTTTAGTTCAATGATATGGAGTGAACCACACTGGTACAGAATACAGGTGTGGTCATTTAGTCCAGTTCTGCAGAATCTGCTACTTGGTGTATTTTTTTGTAAATTAGCTGCAGTGTTTTGTAAACATCTTCGTGTATTTTAATATACATTGAGCAAAACTCCTTATATTTTAATATTTTATATTATACCTTATGTACAGTTTTTCATGCTGCTTTCCCCCCCTCCCCCCCCAGTTATCCCTGGCATTTACATATCAGTAAAGTTGTTCCTGTTTGCATTTCTTCCTGTATTTGAGGGTGTTGCCAATAATGAAGCTGATTATTGGGAATTACATATATTCCAATGAATTTGTTATTATAAAATTTAGAATTGCATTTGAAAATAAATTAATGAAAAAGTCTCTTGAGAAGTTGTACAACACTACCTGCAGGTTACATCAAATTTTGTGTATGTATATTGTGTTGCTGTTGTAAAGGCTGCAAACATTTTGTTGCATGAAGCATATTGTAAGAGCAGTTTACACATAGGCCTCCATGCTGCAAGCATGTGTGTATGTGCTGGATTTATGAATTATCGTTCTTTCGCTTTTTACGCAGCAGAAAATTCTTCTAAGTGTGTAAAAACTAAAAATCTGCTAAGAATAAAAACATTTTGGCTTATCTGAATTTTTACATGGTGAAAGTGAAGCTCAAAAGGATATTGTTTGTTTCTGAAACTGTGTCAGGGTTCAGGAGTTCAATGTATCCCAAGGGCAACAAGACAATCTGGTAGACCTCTTAGCCTTTGAATTGAGCATATTGGAAGTTAGAAACAACAAGACACAACCTGGAGAGCCGCATTGCAATGATAGTCTGAGATTTTGAGCATCCAAGGGTCTTAGCACAACACCTTGGGTACTCAAGGATGGTATGATACACTTTGTCACTATGCCATTATTCCCAATAAAATCAAGGCCATGGATTATAAGCCTCATTCCGAAGAGCCTGCAGTTTTAAGAAGGATGAGAAACCAGTGTGATTATCCCACTTCAACATCTAGCGTTGCCCCATGTGTGCTAGGCCACCAGGTTAGGACTAGCATGTTGCAAATGCATGCTCCAAAGTACTGCTTTCTGACTCCCTGAATAGTTTAGGCCTGAGTCATAAACAAAGCCGTCCCTTCACAAGAGGAAGACAAATACACTCTGAGATCTTTTCAGTCACTGGTATACAGAGAATACATCTTTTATGCTCATCACAGGTGAGAAGTTACCTGCTCAAACAAGTAGTCCTACAGCTTAACTAAATTTGGCATATCAGAGCCTACAAATATACTCATTGTAACAAACTGTGGTTTAAATCAAGACATACAGGTACAAGACTTTGGAGTGAAGTTGAGCCTGGGATGAAGGGAGGGGCGGAGGGAAGGTGTTTTGAGGTTTGGTCTTATTTCTCATTATCCTACTCTGTTTAATTGGCATAAATTAAATTAATTTCCCCAAGGTGAGTCTGTTTTGCCTGTGACGTCAATTGGTGAATGATCTCCCTGTCCTTATCTTGACCTATAAGCTTTTTGTTGTATTTTGCTCCCCTGTCCTGTTGAGGAGGGGGAGTGAGAGAGCGGCTGGGTGGGCACCTGGCAGCTAGCCAAGGTCAACCCACCACACCTTAGTATATAGCAGTTTAATTAATTGCAGATTTTATTTTTCTTTCATCAGATCTATCATATAGAATCTCTGCAAAATGGATGGAAAACCCCCATGTTTTTCGCATAACGAAATAACATAAATATTTCTGTGCAATACAATGTAGACTTGCATAGCATTTAAAATACTGGACACAACAAGAACACGCTTGTTTTATTATTCTTGAAATTGATTACTTGATTATGAACTATGCTTTGAAGTAAAAAATTAATAGTCCTAGGAAAAGGTGCAGCTATAAAAGTCATTACTTGACGGGGCCTGCAACTTAATATGAAATAAATGGTTAGGTAACGGAAGGTCTTGCCCGTGTCCCTTCTTTAATCTCTGTGGCTCTGTGGAGTGGCCTTGGGCCACACAGTGATGCCATCCAACCAGCTGCGTGAACATCCCTGTCATCAGCATGGATTTATTACTTACCCAGTCAAACAGACCAGGACAAGTACTAGGGAGTTAAACTAAAGTGCATTAGCTAATTCTGCTCCTTTGTGCCTCATTATCGCCAGAAAACCTAGTGGCTTTAACTCAATGACACCTCCTTTCTCCTATCCTCTAAATAACAATACAATTAGAAAGTTGCAGAGTGGCCGTGGGGAGTTCCATGTATTACATCAGAGGTAAATTACTTAATAAAGTAATTTGATCATTTTAAAAAAATCCTACAGTCTTATTTAAACTTATATGTGAATTTCCTGTTAGCAGAAGATGACCTTTAGGTTCGATTAGGCCTTTAGTTCAATGAAGACCTGTGTTAGCAAAGAGGTATTAAATACATACTGACTTTCCTAATGTTTCCACTTTGATCTGGTGACAATTGTGCCAGTTCATGTTCTGTAACTGAAGTTTTGGAGTCATCGATGAGGTCTGTTACAAGGTTGTGATCAAGGCATGACATGGCAATGAACAGGATACAGGAACTTACAAAGAAGAAAATAAGAGTTTAAATCTAAGTATGAAAAAAACCCCAGCTTCATTATCATGTGATCAAATGTACACTATGTTGGACTACTTCTCCACTGCTGAATCAGACTGAACTCAAACTGGTGGTCAGCAGGTCAGGATTAGATGGACTCCATAAAGCTCATTAGTGATGTCTTGAAACGTGTAGTCCCATCCAGTTTCTTTGAGGTTTAGTGTGCCATAACTTTGCTTGTTGAGAACCTGTTTAGTTAAGTACGTGAAGCAATGCTACATCATTATATTAACTGCAAAATAGAAAATGTCAGACATGAGAATTCCTGTAGCTGTCTGAGCCACTGCCTGAGGCCTCCAGACATAACTCTTACTCACGAGCTTTGTTAGAAGGTAACTTTGCCGAGGGTGAAGTTATAGTATGGTAATGGCAGGAGAGAGTCCACAGAAACGTGCAGGAGGGCATAATATCCATGTCCACAGCACAACAAATTTCAGCCTACTGTTTGACGTGATCTAAGAGTTAAATATAGTAGTAAGAGGTATTTTGATGAGGTGACCTGCTGGGAGAATGTCCCAGGTAAAAGGTGGAGGACAGGAGCATTCTGTATGAGGAAATGTCCTCAAAAGGACGTGGGGGTGTTGGTCAACAGACGGCTAAATGTGAGCCAACAGCATCCTGGCCTGTATCAGAAATAGTGTGGCCAGCAGGAGCAGGGAGGTGATTGTTCCCCTGTACTGGGCACTGGTGAGGCCGCACCTCGAGTGCTGTGTTCAGTTTTGGGCCCCTCACTGCAGGAAAGACATGGAGGTGCTGGAGCATGTCCAGAGAAGGGCAACCGAGCTGGTGAGGGGCCTGGAACACAGGTCTTATGAGGAGCGGCTGAGGGAACTGGGGCTGTTTAGTCTAGAAAAGAGGAGGCTGAGGGGAGACCTTATCGCTCTCTACAACTACCTGAAAGGGGGTTGTAGTGAGGTGGGTGTCAGTCTCCTTTCCCAAGTAACAAGTGGTAGGACAAGAGGAAATGTCCTCAGGTTGCGCCAGGAGAGGTTTAGGTTGGATATTAGGAAAAATTTCCTCACCAAAAGGGTTGTCAAGCACTGGAACAGGCTGCCCAGGGAAGTGGTGGAGTCACCATCCCTGGAGGTGTGTAAAAAACCTGTAGATGTGGTGCTTAGGGACGTGGTTTAGTGGTGGACTTGGCAGTGCTAGGTTAACATTTGGACTTGATGATCTTAAAGGTCTTTTCCAACCTAAGTGATTCTATGATTCTATGAATCACAGGAACAGGCCGCTTCCATAGACAACAGAAAACATGCTTCCAGCCCAAAATGCATTCGGCAAACTAGTTGATGAATATGCAGGAGGAGGACAAAACTATCATACGAAGGACAGACAGAAGACATATGCCTGAGGAAGAAGCATTTCATATATGACTGACCAGCCAAAGAAAGGGGTCAGGAGCAGCCGGAGTAACAGAAAACTTACTTCTGGATTATACAAAAGCCATTTTGCTGCTTGGGCAGGCACACAAGCGCTTCTGGCTGCTCTGGCATAAGGACGCGTCAAAACGGGTACACAAAAAGCACAAAACCTGACCGAACGCCTGACGGCGGAGCCGCGGCCGGAGAGGAGCCGGCCCAGAGCAGC